ACTAAAGTCACAGATTTTTAAAAATAAAATTAAATTAAAAATGTAAATAAAGAACAGGTTATACTTATCTGTTTTGTGCAAGGGTATTACACAGAGTAGTCTCCTACCTCCTTTTATGGGGTCCCCTGCTAGTGCTTTCTGCTCCTTCTCTTCTCAAGCGGCTTGCTATGGGGGCACATGAACAAGTATGCTCCTAAGACCATTATCGCCACACCCGTCTTCCTCCTCACAGGATTTGATTGACAGCAGCAGGATCCAATGACTCCTGCTTCTCTCAGTCTGTCTGTGAGAGCAGGGAGAGACACCAGAGCTGCTACAGATGGACACAGTGCTGGGTTTATACAAGACTCATGTAAGTATTTAGAGAGGGGGGTGGGGGAACAGCTATTGGAAGGTTTTTTACCTTAATGTAGGTAATACATTAAGGTAAAAAAAAAAAAAAAAATCCTTTTGGCTTTAGAACCACTTTAATGTAAAAATGTACATTTGATTGATAACTGTTGGTTGTACCACTGCTCTTTGTGATAACTTGTTAAAAGAACATAATTTAATATATAAAAACAGAAAAAGTGCTTCCAGCAAATAGAATTTATATTTACCTGTCTTCCTGCCCATGATACTGATCTTTCCTCTCTGGAAGAACTAAGCTTGCTGAAGAATCTCTCCCTCCCCCTCTGCTATATGTGGTACAATCCACTATCCCTTATTATAGTACATGATTCAGTTGTGAAGCTTAGCTGAAGGAAAACACCACAGCATACACTGGGGGACCATGCATTTAACACACTTTCATGTGTGTCAGATGTTGAAGATCCTCAAGAAAGTAAACTTGTAAATTATCATTGTGGACAGTGGGGCAGGTAAGTATTAACTGTTTTTTGCAGGGAACACCTTTTTAGTTTTTTTTTTTAAATAGCAACAGATTGACTTGAAAAGAAACCTGTATTGGCAGAAATATTTCGGCACCTATTGATTACTTTTCTCTAAATAAATGCAATCTCTCTGGCTGTCATGCTGATCCTGTGACTTTCTGAGCCACCAACCTGGAACAAATATGCAGATAGGGAGTTCTGACCTCACTTCTATGTCCCTTTCTCTGCCATCTTAAGGACTCGAAGCATGGAATGCAGAGAAAGCCAGGGAACTAGCAATTTAAAATGGAGCACAGCAAAGGCAGCCTACTTGTTTCTCTGATGACTGTTTTTCTTAAATCAATGCCATGTTGATATCAATCTTTATTAATATATAGGGGCTGTTTTTGGAGTTAAAAGGAGGTAGAGGATTTCTGAACTGCATCAAATAAATCACAATCATGAGTGAAGGATGCATATGAGAGAAAAGGAAACATTTGATTTTGGTATTGGCTTCTGCTTCCGTAGAAGAACTATAAAAGCTTTGGTGGGATGAGAAACTAACAATATTTTTAGACTGTAAGTCTGCCATATTTTCAGCATAGTGTATTAGCAGTGTTAGCCACATGTTGGTTTGTGCTCTCAGAACATCGGTTCACAATCTGTCCCATTTTACTTTTCGTGATATATAGATTCTCATATAAATAATATTACTAATACAACCATAGATGCTACAGAAAGATAGCTGCACCTGCAAAAATGGAACAAAATGGTTCTTTCTTTTCTCCTCCATCTTTTAATACTTGCTGGTTGTGCAGGTATGTGCAAATGCCTATAACTGGTTAATTCTACACAATTTGATGTAAGACCTAGGAGCATAAATGAATAAAGGAAGATGTACAGACAGCTAACCCTAATGGGCACAGAAAATTTAAGGCTCAGAGCAATGGACAACCAACCAATTTAAAAGGACATATGAGGACCAGATCTGAATTTCACCAAAGTTGTACTGTGTAATGCTTTGTTTCTTTGCTTAACTGCAGCTGGCTTGCCTCTTGAGTCAATGTATAATAATAATAATAATAATAATACTGTCATTAAAAATAAAGTTCTTATAAAGCCATTTGGGAACTCGGGCACTGCCCGAGGGCCCGGGGTCAGTAGGGGGCCCCATGAGATGCCCCTGGTACCTTTCATAGGCTTTTTTGGGTGTGGTTTGAGTGTAGGCGAGAACACAGGGGCCCCATGATCTCCTATTGCCCGGGGGCCCCATGAGTTGTCAGTCCGCCCCTGTATAAAACTAATACTTCATTGATGATGGGAACTAATAGAATGGTGCCCTACTACCACTACTAATACACAGTTGCAGTTCATTACTCTAATGAAGACATACTGCTGGCATTTCCAGGTCCACCCCATTTCTTGCTTAACTTTAGCCAGGAATTCCGCTAGGGACCCTACTGTCAGAGGCACAAGATGCAGGCAAGTGACCAGTTTACTATTGTCTTACCCAGCGTATGTGGGTAAACTTAGATTTTAACAATAAGCAGAACCAATGACAATTGAGTGTGTGTAAAAATTCATTTATCTGTGTAGACTTACTCATTAAAGATTTATATTTGCCCAATCATTTTGCTTTATGTACTTGTTCATGCCTAACACTTTAGCTTGGTTGAGTATGGGGTGAAAAGTCACCTGAAATCTGCTTGTTATTACTCTGTCAAGTGCTTTGCCTCATTTGGGGAATATCTTTAAAGGCTGAAGTTAGGCACCAACTCTAAAGAGAACTTTTGTTGTTTTCACCCTTTTAAGCTGAAAAGTCTGGCACAGACACATAAATTAATCTAAATAAAGGAACAATGTATATTTTTAATAAGTAATTCTGAACATTATGAATCTTCCTTAAACTCTGCTGTAGCTGGTATCAAATTATGGGGAATTCTGGGTACCTGGTTCATTCCTAGTGTTAGCTATATTCAGATGGCATGATCTCTTCATCTTCTATGGTATTAACCTTTGGTTGATGCTACCTATTTTTTTTTATGGAAATAATTGGTTGCCTGGATATCATGCTAATCTAAGTTGATGACCTAGAATGAGTATGCAGATAAGCAATATGACTTTACCAAGAAAGTATTGAACCTAGTAGGTTAGCATAACAGTCATGCACCTACCAAACTTCAAAAGGAGGTCAGCAATGGCAGCTTCTGTATTCAGGAAAGGATTACATTAAAGTCCAACTCCAGCCAGAACTTTTTATATTTCATTTTTATTGCTGTTCTTGTCAATGTTGAGGAGAGTACAGAAAATGTTTAAAAATTCTCAAAAGCAAACACTACTAAAAAAATATTTTTAGTAGAGTAGGGAAGTGTTAGACCTTATGGCATTGTTTCATTGCTGTTTGTACCTTCCTGTTTTGGAAGTGAGCGATCTCTGCCTAAACCGGTTAAGGACAAAGAATCTAAAATATTTTTTAACTCATCTTCATTCTAACCAAAACTAAAAACATGTCTGGAGTTACACTCCAAATTATATATTTTTTTCTCAAAAAAGAGGATGTAAAGGAATAAGAGACGGTAGCTGGGAATGAACAGGTGTGAAAATCGGATGTGACACATGTGGAAGAGGCACAGGAATATGACATAACAAAGAATTTGCTGTAATGGGTACTTGTGGTAAGGATGCGGGTTCCATCGCTAATTGATAGAAAGGAGTTCTGGAAATCCCATGAGTCTGTGGACATAAAAATTGCTGTTGAGAACCAATAAATGTAACATTTTCAACTGAGACAGAGGGAAAAGGAGCCGCCAGGTGCTGTGGTATGCTGTGCTGTAAGGCCGCTATAGACCCAGAAAAAACGGGTGCCTCTATCTGCACTGGATAGTTCGAGGGACAGGTTTGGATTGCTGATGTAGGAAAAACTAATTTAAACATATTGGGATGTGTGTTGGATTGTATTAAGTTTTCGTATCTGTTGCAATGATAATTCTCTTTCTTTGAATATATTCCCGGAAGATGTGTTTGTTGGCAAGGTAAGGTGACATGGGATAATAGCTGCTCAGTTGTACATGTTGCGGGATCCTCATGTGCTTCTTTGTACTTTGATAATTGGCTTTTTCTAGTCTGTGGTTTAGTTTGCATATAATTTTTCTTTGGCTCTTGACAAGTTTGTCCAGCTAATATATCCCATGATAATGGAGTTTGGCATTTCTCCTCAAGATTATTACAACGTGGTTTGTTGGTTCCATGTTGTTCAATGCTATTACCGACTACTGTTGGAGACATTAAACTGTTTGCCACTGTGCACTTGACTGGACTTGTGACATCATGAATATTTTCATTGTAACAAAGTGGACTTGCTTCATTTCCTTTCATTTCTATTAAACTCTTACATAACTGGTCTAATCTGCTTTCTACCACTTTTTTTATCTTTTCTATTTTCTCAAGTAACTGCTTTGCTCTCAGCGACTCCTCTTCTAATTCACAGAAATTCTCAGATGGAAATTCTCTTATTTTTACCAAATCAGGTTTCTCTTTGCAAGGCATTTGTTTACCTAGATTCTTACTGGTGGTGTCTTTTACTACCTGAGCCTCTCTTATTTGTATAGATTTACATAAAATGGAAAAGCTCTCTTCTGGAAAAATGACCCCTTGGGAAGATAAGGAAGATTTACATAGCCTGGGTCTTTTAAAAGACAACTCAATCTCATCTGTAACAGATCGGTGCAGTCTTTTGATAGTGCAGCTTTGCTTTAACAAGGTTTCATGTTTTTCATCATTAGAGCCAATTTTATCTGAACTCCAGCTACAAAATGTTTGAGAATATGCAATGTTTTGAGAGCAGTGATCAAGTTGTAAGAGATTTGATTGGTAGTTGAAAGAGCCTGTGTTCTTGCTGTGTTTATTTTCTGTTTGATTGGCGAGTGTTCTTTTATGATTATCTTTCCAAGCCAGACATTCTTGTTTGATCTGTAGAGTTGGTGTTCTTAACAATTCCGATTCTGTGTGATCATTCTCAGCATGTGACAGTTGATGAGGAAATGTCAAGTTTTTTAATGAGTAAAACGAGTCTTTTGATTGCACATGTTGTTCTAAATTTTTTGAGCAACTTTGACAATTTCCATTTGTATGACACTTTTGCCTGTGCTTGCATTTGGATGTTCTTACTCGTTCTCTATATTTGCAGTTCCTTCTTTTTCTTGTAGATGATTTTCTATTACTTTTGCTTCTCTGGTTTATGTTTGAGTCAAAATCTTTGTCCAAAAGATACTTTGAAATGTTGTGCTTTTGATCTTCTTTAAAGCTGCAAATTAGATTATAGCATTTCAAACTGTTCTGAGTCTTGGCTCTTTGCTGACATGGATCTTTCCCGTCTTCATTTGTAAAAGAGTCATAGCCTAATTGTGTATTGTATTTGGTATTGGAACTGTTGCTGCAGTAATATTGTTTTGTCTGGGTTGGCAGACTGTTGTTCAGGCAAGCTGCCTGTACTTTTTTTTCTTTTGAAAGCCGGAAATCAAAATGCAGAGGATTGCAGCTGTAGGAGATGGATGGTTGTGTGCAGGTGTACATCATCATTTCAGAAGGCCATTGAAAAATTTTGGAACCATTTTTGCTTTGCACTGGTAGAAAGTCCTTATTCGGTCTTATAGGAGACATATTCTTATTTTCCAGTGTCCCATCATCAATAGATAAGCTGTCTGTTGGATTTTTGTTACATTTACTACTGTCACATGCTAGATCACATGCTGTCATTTCCTCTTTCTGCATGGTGTTTTCCACAGATTGAACCAAAAAACTGTGCTCATCACAATGTAGTTGTGTTCCTTCACCGGTCTTGGATTTGTGCCATTCTACAGCCAATTCCTCATTTTCAGAAATATATTTGTCTCCTTTTTCATTTGACTGAAGAAATATATCTGAGTTTACTGGTTGTGCTTGGACATTGCAGTCTAAAGGCACTTTTAAATTGCAGACATCAGGAGCTGAAAATGTTGTTAGCTCTGTTTCATCCATTTCTTTCTGATTTGTGTCCTGGGAAGCATGTCTTCTTCTAGGTGATTGTTTTTCACAAGCTGATATAGATTTTTGATCGTCATTTGGGCATGAAGATCCTTCTATTGGCAAAGATGATTGAACACTAAATGAAGCTGGGAGAAACCTGCTTCTCTTTGTTAACCCATGACCACCTGAAATGTCTTTGTTGAAGTCGTAGAACACAGCAGCTGAGGCTTCAAGTTTAATGGGAGTCCTTTTTCGAAACGCAAAAGAGAAGCTTATTTTCTGTTTTTTGTCTTTTTGAATCTGATTGTGAAAGTTTTGGTTACTGTTTTCTGAACTTTCTGAGCTTGATAAAAGTATGGATGCCATATTTGTGCTGTTATGAAGGTTTGTGATGGAGGCAATCTGCGGAGTTTCTCTTTCTACAGAATGGACAATGGTGCTTTGAAGATTGCCGTGGACATGGTCATGAACAGTAACTGTGGTTGATTTGAACATAGGGCCACTTCCTGGAGCACTATAAGAAAAAAATAAATAGTAAATATATTAGAAAAAATAGCCATTTACTAATTAACGCTCAGTTGAAGTCAGAAATGGATTTTTAACCAGATAACCTTTGTACCTACCTAAGAACCTTCATTCTAACGTTCTTATCTCCACATTTCAACAATTCTGCAATGTGTCTGTGACTTTGCAGTATAGTAAGCACCAGAATTTGACCTCCTAGACCAGGGGTAGGCAACCTGTGGCTCTCTAGTTGTTGTGGAACTACCATTTCCCATGAGGCATTGCAACATTACAAAACTGACAGTTACAGCTATGACTTGCAGAGGCATGATGGAACTTGTAGTCCTGCAACAGCTGGAGAGGTGCCGGTTACCTACCCCTTTCCTAGACCAATGCATCTGTAATTTAAAAGTACTGTCTGTCCTTTTTATTTATCTTGGTGACCTCTGTCACTAGAACTGCCAGTTAGAGTAAATCAAAAATTTTGAGTTTGTTGTTTCCAGAAAAAGGCTAGATGGGAGATCCTTCAATGGGGGCATTTTCCTCACTTTGTGGTGATTTCCTCTTACTTTCTTTTGTGTCTACAGGACAGGAAGTGAAGGGAAATCTAAACAATGGGACAGAGAAAACCTGGCAGGGGTGTTTTTAACCATCTTCTACTCTACCCAAAATGAGAAAATTTGTCTTTAGAAATACTGTAAACAATAGTATGAACCTTAATGTCTATCTACATTACTGTATTTACAAGATGCTTCATAAGGTATGTTGGATTTCTAGACAATACCCACCTTACATTATTAAATTTACCTTTTAGTGCCACCTTGTTTCTGGCCTCAAACCTGCTTGATTAAAAAAAAAAAAAAAGTATAACTAAAATTTTGGGGGTTTTGGATAGAGTGGAGAGGGATTAGAACATCTGTCAGTTTTTTTTGCTGTCTGTGCTCCTGTTGCGAATATTCACTCTCTGCCCTGTTTATCATTATCATTGAAAGTGAAAATAAAAGAAAATCCCAAATTTGTCCCTAGAAAAGTAATAGAGGGGAAATCTTCCAATTGGGACACTAGGTCTGGTAACCTGGGGGTCCCCAATAAATGTGCAGGGATTTTCTCTCACTTCCTGTTTTGCTATGGAACAAGAAGTGAAGGGAAATCACAGCAGTGGAACACAGATTGTGAAAAAATATATGACCGGGTTATGACCATCCCTTGCTCTATCCAAAATGAAAACCGCGTTTTGCCTGTAGTTCTACTTTAAGTATAATTAAATCCTAGGCCACAACATCTTGCCTCAGGGTTAACACTCATCAAATGTTACCCAACTAAAAGCTTTTATTCTCTAAAATCTGTGTGCCATGCATGCTTCTTTTCCCAGGGACTTCCTACTAATGACCTGTAATCTATGGATGCACATCAGCCTGTAGTTCAAATTAGGAGTAAGCAGCCTATGGTGACAACACTGTTTTTGCATATTTTATATATATATAGCAGAGTGTAAGGATTGTCATCCTTGAAGGGAAGTGTTTTACTGGCAGGATTAACAGGTTAAAATAAAGGAATAAATACCCTGAAAAAAGAAAACTAAATTTGTGCTGTTACATTTGTTGTATGCAAATATAATACAATGCATAGTCATGGTTAATGTTCAAATTGCTGTGAATTGGGAATTTATGTAGCTAATTTCCTTAAAATTTTACTAACCCCAGGACTCTGCATTCACTATATCTGGTCTCCCACAGTATGCAGAACATGGAAGTGTAATTATTTTACTAAATATAAACTGCTAAATACATTTTCTCATCAGCAGTATATAGCAGTCTTGTGACTTCTATCAGTGTCCAACTGAGCACATGTTAAAGCTTGTAGGAGAAGTTTTTAATTCTGCTCTAGGAGGATGCAGAACCCCTGACCTCTGTCTGGACAGTGCTGATTGGCCCTGTGCTAATCACATGCACCCTCCCAAGAAAAAAAAAAAACCTTTCTAGCAATACACACCAAACTGAGCATGTGCAGAATGTCTCCACACGATATGGCTTATCAGGAGATAAGAGGGGGACACTGGAAGAAGGGGAGGATCAGAGAAGTTGGGATCAAACAGCATTTTTACACAATGCAGAGGATTAACCCCTTAGGTTCCACAGTGAGTATAACAAGCATGCTTTACTGCATTAGCAGACTGATTTTACTGTTGTGGGTTTAGTAACACTTTAAGCCATTTTTATTTACATCAGTATAGTTGGTTAATGTGCTGCTGTCTTGTGGTCATTTTGGTTATTGCACCATTTTTTCTGTGTTCCCTCCCATCTGTGATGTACAGTGGATATAAAAAGTCTACACACCCCTGTTAAATGTCAGGTTTCTGTGATAAATAATTTCAGAACTTTTTCCACCTTTAATGTGACCTATAAAATGTGCAACTCAATTGGAAAACAAACTGAAATAATTTAGGGAGGAATTAAATATAAAAAACTAAAATAATGTGGTCACATAAGTGTGCACATCCTCTCATAGTTGGGGATGTAGCTGTGTTCAGAATTAAGCAATCACATTCAAAATCATGTTAAAATAGAGTCAGTACACACCTGCCATCATTTAAAGTGCCTCTGATTAACCCCAAATAAAGTTCAGCTGTTTTAGTAGGTGTTTCCTGACATTTTCTTAGTCACACCCTAAAGCAAAAGCCATGGTCCGCGGAGAGCTTCCAAAGCATCAGAAGGATATCATTGTTAAAAGGTATGAGTCAGGAGAAGAGTACAAAATAATTTCCAAGGCATTAGATATACCATGGAACACAGTGAAGACAGTCATCATCAAGTGGAGAAAATATAGCGCAAAAGTGACATTACCAAGGACTGGACATCCATCCAAAATTGATGAAAAGACGAGAAGAAAACTGGTCTGGGAGGCTACCAGGAGGCCTACAACAACATTAAAGGAGCTGCAGGAATATCTGGCAAGTACTGGCTGTGTGGTACATGTGACAACAATCTCCCGTATCCTTCATATGTCTGGGCTATGGGGTAAAGTGGCAAGATGGAAACCTTTTCTTACAAAGAAAAACATCACAGTCCGCCTACATTTTGCAAAAACACATCTGAAGTCTCCCAAAAGCGTGAGGGAAAATGTTTTATGGTCTCATGAAACCAAGGTTGAACTTTTTGTCCATAATTCCAAAAGATATGTTTGGTGCAAAAACAACACTGTGCATCACCTAAAGAACACCATACCCACAGTGAAGCATGGTGGTGGCAACATCATGCTTCCAGGCTGTTTTTCTTCAGCTAGAACTGGGGCCTTAGTCAAGGTAGAGGGAATTATGAACAGTTCCAAATACCAGTCAATATTGGCACAAAACCTTCAGACTTCTGCTAGAAAGCTGAACATGAAGAGGAACTTCACCTTTCAGCACGACAATGACCCAAAGCATACATCCAAATCAACAAAGGAATGGCTTCACCAGAAGAAGATTAAAGTTTTGGAATGGCCCATCAAGAGTCCAGACCTGAATCTGATCGAAAATCTGTGGGGTGATCTGAAGAGGGCTGTTCACAGGAGATGCCCTCGCAATCTGACAGATTTGGAGAGTTTTTGCAAGGAAGAGTGGGCAAATATTGCCAAGTCAAGAAGACGTGCCATGCTGATAGACTCATAACCAAAAAGCCTGAATGCTGTAATAAAATCAAAAGATGCTTCAACAAAGTATTATTTTAAGGGTGTGCACACTTATGCAACCACATTATTTTAGTTTTTTATTTTTACTTCCCTCCACCTAAAAGATTTCAGTTTGTTGTTCAGTTTATAGGTTACATTAAAGGTGGAAAGAGTTTTGAAATGATTTATCTTTGTCTCATTTTTTTACATCACAGAAACCTGACATTTTAACAGGGGTCTGTTGACTTTTTCTATCCACTGTAATTTTTTCTTCTCCTTGCAATGCATTATGGGATAAAGATGGCTGCTAGTCTCACAGCCACTTGCTAATCTGCACTCATGGAGGAATGCAGTGACAATTTTTTGATCTGTAAATATCGTCCTTTCATTCATCTGTTGCATCCTGTTGTCTACTGTAATCAAGCTGCATTCAAAAGATCTTCCTGGATGAGAAAAAAGGTGTTTGGTGAGTTCAGCTATCTGAAGACTGTCCATGGTGATTGTATATTGTATATAAAGAAGTAAGCACTGTCACCCTTGGAGGGAAGTGTTTTACTGGCAAGATTAACAGGGTAAAATAAAGGAACAAATAGACTGAAAAAAGAAAACTAATTGCAACTTACCAGTCACTTCTAAAGACGAGCACATTTATTTTTACATATCCTTTATTGCTTGAGCTCATTTAATATATATCTCCTTGTGTATTTCAGTGTTAAATACTGTATAAATATGCTGCATGCTATATTTTCCTCTATTTTGGTTAGCTTTCCCTTTCTTCTTTTGCCTGTAAAATGCTCATTTTCCTTTGCTTCAAGCTTCATTTTGTAACCTTGATTCCGTCATTTTAATAAACTGCAGACAGGTATTCCATGGATGTTTTTTCCTCTGTGGTCAGGAAGCACTTCCCCCCTCACTTTTGTCAAAGCTTGGTTTGCGTCATAGGTCTCAGGTGTTTTTTTCCATGGAAAGAAGGCGCAGTTTAAACGCATGAAAATGCATGGTAAAATAGGATAAATTGTTTTACAAGGTCCTGGACTGTTATGTTTACCTTATATTCAATCAAAGTCTTGTGCTTGTTCTGTTATCTTTCCAGTGGCCCCCTACTTTGAAATTGTTTTTTAGGACAGAGACCTTTGTTAAGGCTACACATATAGATGTGTGAGAACGTGACTATGATTCATGTGTGATTACCAACTTCTATTATTAAAGCATGATATCAAGACCCCCAATGTATGAGATTAAAATGTCACGTTTGTGCATACTTTACACTTACTGAAGCAATGTACTGTGTGAATAAATATTTGTTTTAAAAGTTAATGATTGAAATGTGTAGGCTGCTGTTGTGAAACCCTCCCTTCCTGC